AGTATTCAAAATTACAAAAGGAATATAATAATTTATTAGAAGATAATGAATATTTTGTAGAGACAATTATGGATATCTCAAAAAATAATTTAGAAAAAAAATTACAATACTTATATATACAAAAAATGCCTGAAGCTATCATATCAAAATATTTTAAAACAATAAAAATTGATAATAAAAAGAATATGATAGAATGTTTTAAAGATATTATTTTAACATATGGAACTAATGAATCTATGCCCGGAATATCATATGCATCTCATAAATTAATAATTGAAAATTCTTTTTCTTGTAATTTTTGTAAGAAAGAGTTTCTTGTAATAACTATTTCCTTAGAACTAGCATATTGTAGGAAATTCTTAAATTGGGAATTAAAAGATTTATTAAATTATGGTTTATTATCAAAATTAATTATCAACAGAGAAGATTTAGAAATTCAAATATCAACAATCCATCATACTGAGCCGAAGGGGATTATATTGCATATATTTCAAGAAGATACTTAATCACTAGCTTTGCTTTTCAGATATGTTCCTCCTTATTATGAAAACTTAACAGATGAATCTAAACATATAGTGGAGATCATAAAAACTCCAAGGAATTACAGGGCATGGCAAAGAGATCAAGAATTTCATGAAATCATCGACCTAGATATTGCGACAGAGTCATTGGTTCATTTTAGAATCTATCAAGTCATCAGTCTATATAAAGGATATTCTAATCCTTTCGGTTCCCTTATGATACATCAGGACAAAGATATGACAATTTTTCTTAATGAGAAGATGATTAAAGGAAAAATATTCAGATTTAAATTTTATCATCATGAGTATAATTTGCTGGAGCACATCAAAGCCATCAATCCATATACTATCAAGAGGACGAAAGATTTTATTACAATCTTTGAAATGTTAACCCCCATACCTAGCCAAGATAGTGATGAAGAACTTGAACAACAATGACTTTAAAGACTTGATGATATTGCTATCTATAATCTAGAAAATGCCATGGAGCCATAAAAATGCAAGTGGAGAAAAAAGTTAAATTTTTACTATTTAATTTTTATCGGGACCAGGAAATCTACTTTTTACCAGAAAGGAAATCAACTTTTACTCAAAATATATTTTTTATAGAAATGATGGAAGGCATCTACTTTTGGAAGTATTATCCAACTTTTTCAAAAAGCATTATTAATGGTGATCCACTTTTTCATCATGAATGACCAAAATTTTCAAAGTTACTATTCAAGTTACTATTCCAAAACCATGTGCTTATGTGGTTTTCTATCAATAGGTTATGGTTGTGCTTAGTTTATAAATAAGGGGAGTGAGAGCTCTCATCTATCATCCCTTATCCCTTATCCCTTATCACTTACACACATCCTTCTCTCTCCACTAAAAACTCTCACCCCTCTCTTTAGTAATAACAAGTAAGTCAAGAAGTTTGTAACAAGAGTCTGTAAGTTTTTATTTATTTCAATAAATATTTAGTAATCTTTCTTTTATTATGTTGTGTGAGTAGTCTTTTAGTTTTTCCCGTAGGGGAGAAATCTGTTAATTTTCTTCATGAATATATATATTCTTCATTCAAACATAAACCTTTGTTCTCGGAGTACGGATACAGTTTATGTGCACGAGAAATATACTAATAACCACTTGTTTTTGAATTTTATATTCTTTACATTTGTCTTGTAAGATGTTAAAAGTAAATACCATTCTAGGTCCTATTCCTATTCCTTTTGGTAAATTTTCATAAGTAATTTTCCATTTTTCATATATTTTTTTTTCTAATTCTCCATGAAATTTAATTAAAAACCTATTTTTTATTTCTTCATCAAAGAATTTTCCTGCTCTACTAGCATAGACAATATATAATTTTACAAATTTATCTATTTGAGACAAATCTGCAATACTTAATTGTTCTAAATGTCTGTAAGCTGTATCTTTAATGTTTGCATTTTGTCTACTTGGATCAAATCGTAAAATTAATGTTCTAATGAATTTTGTAAAATTATAAGGATTATCTCCTAATTGTCTTAAGGCTTCTATTTCACCTGCTTTCCTAATTTTAGCTTCATTAAATATATTAGCAGCTGTTTCTCTTAATAAAGTTTCAAGGAATGCAAACATATCTCCTACTCCTCCTTTATTGTTATTAGCCCAAGCTTTTACTGCATCAAATTCCCATGTAGAAATTACAGATTCCCATATTTGGGGGTTATTAAGATTAATTGTTAAAATAGTTCCATTTGTGTGGGCTAGTATTAAATTTATTTTTTCTAGCGGTTCTATATTTCTTTTATAACTATAATTATTATTCTCATTATAATCTTCTTTAGATGTTCCTTGTCTATATGGTCTTTCAGGCCCATTCTCTTCTCCTGAAGTGGAACTGGATCAAACCTAGGTCTTTTATTTCTATCTACATTAGATGGTCCTGCTACTACTCCTCCCATTTCCATCTGTTGAATTACCTGGATTTCTTCTATAATAAATTTAGAATCTATAGTCCTCCAATCAAAATTAGAATTAAATTTATTTTCATATGCTACTAATGGTTTTAAGTAATGGTTTCTAAAATAAATAGTAGCTATGAGGTTACAAGGAGAATCTACATAAGAAATCAATGAGGTTATTATACCAAAATCAACGAGGTTATTAAATGTATAGCTTCCATAGTAAACCTGCCCGACATAAATCCAAATTGATTAGGAGAAATCTTTGCAATACGTCTTAGCCTATGATCAATTACCCTGCCATAATTTTAAATTATGACACATCAAATTAATTCTTCTATAATTTGCACATTCTTTTGCATCCCTTTTATTCTTAAAAATGGGGACCAAAATACTCTTCATCCACTCCTCAGGCATCTTTTTAGTTTTTAAAATAATATTAAAGAGTTTAGTAAGCCAAGAAACCCCCAAATCTCCTAAACATTTCCATATTTCAATTGGGATATCATCAGGTCCTATAGATCTTTCACTCTTGGTTTTCTTTAAAACCTTATCAACTTCTTTTTTATTAATGTGACGGTAAAAATGAAACGTTTTATTATTATTAACGATATTAAAATCACTAAGGTTGAAACTTTTTCGTTTTAATTTTTGCTACAAATTTAATCATTGGATTGATTTTGATGATTGATTTAACTCAAATTGTATACAATCTGATTTTTAATAAGTTCATAGATTTCAACAAATTGTAGATTTTTTTCTTTTGTAGATCTCAATTAATTTTTTGTTGAAGGCTATTAAATTTTCATCAAAGTTGATTCTGCTCTATATTGTTTGTTTTCATTTTAAGCAATGAGTAGTTCTTAAAAATGAGTTATTGTGTCCTATGAAGTTGTGTTGCATGTTTGCTAATATTACATTCTCCTCTTTACCCTTTTGTACTCTTTTATTTCTTAATGCAAGGCTAACTCTATTAGGTTTTGTTCATGATACTGCGAACGTGAGAATGCCTGGAACAAAGTTTTTCTTTTTTTTTTTTTTTGCTTGTTAATCTTATTGTTGAGAGTATGGTTAAAGTGGAGGAATGCATCGAGCCTATTGTGTGATAGAAAAGTAGCGCTTAGACTTAAAGGAAAGTTTTATAAGATGGTGAGACCAACGATGTTTTATGATGCGAAAGATTGGCCTTTAAAAGAGAAGTGTAAAAAGGAGTTAAGTGTTGCTGAGATATGAATGCTTAGATGGATAAGAGTAGATTGACACTTGGAGACAAAATGTGAAACGAATGTATTCGTGAAAGAGTTGGTGTAGCTGCAGTGACAAATAAGATTAGAGAGTCATCATAGATGGTTTTGTCACATTAAATGTCGATAACATACCTATTCGGTTAGGAAAGTAGTGCTTTAGATTTGACTTATGCTAAAGAAGGTAGAAGTAGACCTAAAAAGACATGGGCATTTTGTATAAAAAATGATCTTAATTTATTAGAACTAAATAAAAATATGACACTCAATAGGAAACAATGGACAAGAAGGATTCATGTAGCCGACCTCACTTAGTGGGATAAAGGCTTGTTGCTGTTGTTGTTATTGTTGAGAGTATATTTATCTGCATTAGATGGAATGTGGAGTTGCAGGCACATCAGGATAAGATAGAGTAGGTCAAGGAGTATAAATTTGTATTCGATGATTTGAAGTGGGATAATATGAAGCTTAAGGACATAAACTGGGGTATTAATGCACTTGAAATCGTCATTATTCTGTTTAGGACATAAACTGGGGTAGGATCATTATTATTCCCCAAGTTCTAGCTGTTTTGTTGCTTTTGGTGTAATGACGATGATTCAATAATTTCTTAGGTTTGTATTTCTCATGTGTTTCAACTAGCCGCCTCCATTTTTATCTATGATTGGATAACATTTTGAATTTCCTATAAACCATAAAAATTGTATGCTATGATAATACTTGATTGTATTTAGGTGCTGTTTGGTTTGGTGCATTACGTAACGCACTTTATGCTGTTTGGTTTGAGGTCATATGGAATCGTTGCGTTTTGGATTGCATTGACTTCCTGTTCTGGTGTCTTCTTGAATGTCACCAAATCTACTAAGTACATAACTCCAATCAGATTGTTCTTTGAAATGCAGTGCATTAAATCAAAAAAAGCATGAGACAAATCACTATATATTTGATGGTCATTTTGAGAAGTTGGACAGCCCCGAAAACCATGTATTTGGCAATGTTTTTAGAGAGCTTTAATCCTGACATCCTTAAAAGCATACTGCTACCAATGACCGATGATTTTCGCCAACCTTGTAATAAATTTGGGGCTGCTTTTATTTGTTTACTATTCCTGTTTCTGTCAGTAAATTGTAAGTTTCTTCTTTTTTTGTTTTTTTGAAATATTTTAGGGGCATTTGTGAGTTGAGAATTTGTAGTAAGAGTTTGCATTTGTGAGATTAATGTTTTAAGACAAATTGTTTGCATTTGTGAGTGTTTATAGTGAATCTAATAATGGAATGTTTTTGCGTTCTGTTTCAATGTTGCAGGTTGCTTTCAGAACAAAAGTTTTCCATCCAAATATTAACAGCAATGGTAGTATTTGCTTAGACATCCTCAAGGAACAATGGAGTCCTGCGTTAACAATTTCCAAGGTTAAAATCTTCAATGTTTTGAATTTTTTTCGCAATTTGTTTAGAGCACGTAGTTCCTCCCTTTATTTTTTTAACGAGTAGCTGCCTCCACAAAAAACTTCATGTTGAAACTGGTTTTGCTGAAGCATCCATGGAATTTCATTTGGTGTCAAATTGACTGCTGGTTGGGTGACATGGTACATAGTAGAATGGTTCACTATGTGAGGACGTCGAACCTAACTTTCTTTTCAAACTCTATTTTGAAATATATAACGGCTCATTTCACATAACGCTATCTTCTTCATTCCTACCTGAAAGTATGGGTCATTTTAAATTCTCTATCCCATCTCATTTAATCATGCAATGTCAGCCTCCTTTTTTTTCCCAGTAGTCAAGTTTGATGTGATTGTTGACTAATAAAATGCTTTTTCTTTTGGTGCATTTAAATACATTCCACCCAACTTTTATGTAACACCTAAATTTCACTTTTTTACATTTCTACCACCAAAATCTTTCATATCACCTCAAAAGTTCCACCAACTTTTAAAAGCGAAATATACCTTTTCATGTATATGTTCGGTGTTATATGCATAAAAATTGAAGTTTTGGTTTTATATATGCAGCAAATACATAGGAATTGGCTGGTATGTATGTAAGTCTTCCTTTTCATTTTCCAACACCACAACTCCGGTATTAAGCACTTGAAGATGCCAATGCATGGCAATTGTGGCATTCATTTTTAATAGCACCCCTAATCTGGTCACTTCCTCAAGTATGGATAAATTTCATATACATGTTCATTAGCAAATTCAAAGGATTTTACCTTTTTTTTTTGTTTAGGTTCTACTCTCAATCTGCTCCCTGTTGACGGACCCGAACCCAGATGATCCATTGGTTCCTGAGATAGCACATATGTATAAAACGGACAGGACCAAGTATGAGACCACGGCAAGGAGCTGGACGCAGAAGTATGCCATGGGCTAAGGCGAGGACGGATAAATCCTGATTTCCTTCTTGTTGCACTATCCTGGGCGGTATCTATTGATATTTTATGTGTAAGAATGTAAAACTTTTGAAGGAAATCCCCAATTGACTCTCCAGGAAGGAATGAAGATGAAAAACAACTTCTCTACAAGCGTAGCATTTTATTCTGCTTTTGTGTGTAAATTATGACACTGAGGTACTACCTTGGATGATTTTCTTTTGTTAAAAAAAGAAGGGGATTTTCTATTGGCTCTAGATAATTATTTCCCGTGGTTATGGCCATAAGAATTTCAACCTAACCTATGAAATTCTCCCATGTCCGTCTTTGGATTGAAGGTAAAGGAAGCTGGCGCAAACCGTAGATTTCTCATTTTTTTTTCCTTCAATAATGCTTCTTCTTTGGTGCACAAAATTATCTTATTTTAAAAATATTTAGCTTGTATATAACAACAGAGCGTGAAAACATTTAAGTGGAAATAATATATATATATATATATAAGGCACTTGCAGTTTTTATGTTATTTTATTTTATTGAGGACATTTGAGGTACTTTAAACCTTGAACCTAGAATCTTTTCGTTATCATAGGATGGCTTGCATATAGGTGTGTATTTTAATTTTAGTTATTTTGTTCCAAAGAAAGATCTGCAAGACTGAAAGAAAAGAATGTTAGATGGCAGGCTCTGGCAAGTCTATGGAGACAATGTTGGAGATGCAGTCATGGCCATAGAGTGGCAATTGAAATGAAGTGAGGTTCTATGTTCTTGAATGGTTAAAGTTGTTCATTAAAAATATAAGTATATCGAAGAGAGTCGAGCATTAGAGCATATTAAATTATTCATGTTTGTATTAATATATGCTGAGTTAATTATGTGGGTATTGCAAGGAAATTTATCCTTACAAGAGGTTCGATTATTTTGAAAGAAAAAAAAAATGAAATTTGTGGGCCCTGAAAATATAAGTCTCGGAATTGTTGAGAGTTTTGTTAAATTTTTTATGACATTAGATTTTAAAAAAAGATAATCTATGTTTTATCCATTTTGTGTCAATATTTTTATTTGATTCGAGGTTTTCCATTGTTAAAGCATTTATGATTAATTACCTCAACCAATAACAACAGAACATTTTTTATTAAAGCCAATTGGTTGTCTGGCATTTGTTCAAACTCAATATATATTATTAGCAGTTCGAATGTAGATTTAAATTTTTATCATCATGAACTTGAGATGGTAGAGGAATTGTGACAACTTATTAAGATCATATGATTCTTTCATCTTGATTTATCATGATCCATAGTGTATTTAATTAAAAGAGATAGCAATTCAAAATAATTCAATAATTGCTGTTAAACGCAATGAGTTACTTCATTTAAAGGAATCTTGTATCGAATAGTGGTTTGTCAAGGGGAACTTTTATGTAAATCTTAGCTAAAAGAAGGTTTCATACCCTATTGAGTGTCTTATATTTTACAGCTCAAGAGACAAAAGTATTATGTAATATACACGCTATTGTCGTGATTGTAATTTAAGATTGACATTTGCTTACAAAATACCAGATTAGATGGCTTTAGTTATAATCGTTATTTAATAATGCTATTTTGCTACAAAATAGTAGGGTATAATTGCTTATAACTTATAACTCAAAAATGATTTATATGTTAGCAATCTAATATTTTTATTTATATTAATGTTTTTAATCATTGTCTTAACTTTATGTAAGGATAAAAAATAATTTTGTTCGCAGGTCTGAACTTGTTCATGGAATATGTTAGCATAATCACTAGTGTCTCACATTAACTCAAAGGGTTTTTTCTAGTCAGGTGAAATAATAATACGCGCAGTGATTAATTTTTTTTTTTAATAAATTAAGGCATTTAGGCATTCTTCATTAAAATCAAAGTTTATGACTCTTTCTAAAAAATGACACAACGGCTTGGTAATTTTTGAAAATTCTTTAATATAACTCCTATTGAACCCAACATGTCCCAATAAATCTCTTACCCCTCTTACAGATGTAGGAGGTCAACAGTAACTTGAATTTTTGCTAGATCTAATTTCATGTCATTTTCAGAAATCTTATGTCCTAATACAATTCCTCGTGCAACCGTAAATTAGCATTTTTCCCAATTGAGAACACGATTTGTTTCTTCGCAGCGTTTTAGAGCTCTTATTAAATGATCTAAACATGAATTGAAAGATGTTCCAAAAACTGAGAAATCATCCATAAAGACTTCAATTCCTTTCTCAATTAAATCATAGAAAATAGACATCATACATCTCTAAAAAGTTGCAGGTGCATTGCATAATCCAAACGACATTCTCCTAAAAGCAAAAGTTTCATATGGACTAGTAAATGTTGTCTTCTCTTTATGCTCAAGAGCTATGAGTATTTAGTGGTATCCAAAATATCCATAAAAAAAGCATAAATAATGATGCCCTACTAGTATATCCAATATTTGGAACAAAAACGGTAAAGGAAAATGATCTTTCCTACATCATACATCTTTAAAAAGTTACAGGTGCATTGCATAATCCAAACGACATTCTCCTAAAAGCAAAAGTTTCATATGGACTAGTAAATGTTGTCTTCTCGTTATGCTCAAGAGCTATGAGTATTTCGTGGTATCCAAAATATCCATCAAAAAAGCATAAATAATGATGCCCTACTAGTATATCCAACATTTGGAACAAAAACTGTAAAGGAAAATGATCTTTCCTAGTAGTGAGTTTAATTTTCTATAATCAATACAGTTTCGCCACACAGTGACTTGTCTTGTAGGAATTAATTCATTATTTTGGTTAATGATTACAGTCACTTGGCCTTTTTTAGGAATACAATGAATATGACTAACCTAAAAACTATTGTAAATATGATAAATAATTCCAACATACAACTGCTTTAAAATTTCTTTCTTAACAATTTTTTTCATAATAGAGTTCAATCTCCTTTGAAGATCAGCCTTAGGCTTATAATTATATTTCATCAAACTTCTAGGCATATAGATTGAATGACTAATTCCTTTAATATCAGGTAATGTCCATCTAAAAGATTTCTTATGATTTTTTAATGTCTCCAAAAATTTTTTTCTTGTTCTGCACTGAAGTGTAAGAATATTATAACTAGTAATGTAGATGAGTTCTCCAAAAATGCGGATTTTAAATGAGCAAGTAACACCTTCATTTCAAGTTCAGGAGATTTTTTTAATTGAAGGAATTAGAAGTTTACTATTTTCAGTAATATCTAAAATTTCAAAATTTTTCTGAAAAAAATTTGAATCTTTAGTAATTATCTCATGTGATTTGTCTTCAAAATCAATTTCATTTTCATTTTTCAGTTCTTTTTGATCTGTTATGACTTCACATCTTTTTGGGAAATGATTAACAACCATATAATCAATAATATCAATTCTATAACATTTACCAACTTTTTTATTTATCATAATATTTTATTGATTTAAGAACATTAAATGTAACTTCTTGGTCATTAACTCTAATAGTTAGATCTTCTTTCTGTGCATCTATCATTGCTCGTACAGTGGCAAGGAATGATCTCCCCAAAATGATAGGTATTTCTTTAATTTTTTTCCATATCTAACACAATGAACTCAATAGGGAAGATAAATTTATCCACTTTAACCAACACATCCTTTATAACCTACTTAGGATATGTAATAGATTGATCGGCTAACAGTAGGTTACAGTAGTGGGAGAAATCTCTTCTACACCTAAACTTCTGAAAATAGATAATGACATGAGATTAATGTTAGTTCCTAAATCACATAAAGCTTTTCCATAAAATTTTTCTCCAATCAGACAAGGTATAGTGAAGCTACAAGGATCTTTAAGTTTTTGAGGAATTTTTTTTTGAACTATTACACTACATACTTCACTAAATACAACAGCTTCATAATCTTCGAACTTCCTTTTATTATTAAATTTTTTTTTCATAAATTTAGCATAACTAGACATCTGTTTCAAAGCTTCTGCAAAAGGAATATTAATTGTAAGCTTTTAAAATATCTCAAAAAATTTTGAAAATTGATGATCCAACTTTTGTTGCCTAAGTCTTTGAGGAAAAGGAGGTTATGTTCTTTCTAAATTAATCTTAGTTGGAGAGACAGGTTTTTCCAGTTCTTTAGGAATAGTTTCCTTAGGTTTTTTAGTTTCTTTACTTTCTCCCTCAACTTCAATCTCTTTTTGAACTCCAACCTTTAATTCCCTTCCACTCTTAAGTTGGACAACTTTAACTTACTCTTGTTCTTTATTTTTATCTTTAGGATTGATTTCAACATTACTAGGAAGTGTCCCCTGAGGCCTTATGCTAAGTACGTTAGCAATTTGTCCCAGTTGATTTTCAATGTTTTGAATAACAACTCATTGACTTTGTGATTGATTTCTCATATGTAATACCACTTCTTCCATAGATAACTTCTTCTTTTTAATTTGTTGGTTATTACTAAATCTAAGATGATATGTAGGTCTATAATTAGCATTACCCTGGTTGTTCCAGTTTCAATATATCATGGATAATTGTGTCCATGAGATTAGACTCTATAAAATCATTTATAAGTACCCAGTTTACCTGTGTAGTGATTATGTTATAAATTGTAAGTAAGGTAGCGAGATGTGATGAGTTGGGGAATGAATTAACCTCATTTATCATGTGTGCTTGTGTTTTGTGTTGCAAACAAATAAAGGACATGAAGAACACTTATATATATATCCATATGATGATACTTGATATGCTAAATAAACTTTTCTTTATTCAATTTTATCCTGTCATGTTTAATTTAGATTTACTTTCTATTGCACACTGTTCTGTTCTAAGTATATTTGCAAATGTTTTGATAAATACTTTTGGTAGATTGTAATTATGGGCTGTGATTTTTCTTCCTTCTTATGTTTTTTTATATTGAATGTTGTACATGTTAAAAATCAAGTTTGGTGGAGGAAGAAAAGTGATTTTCAATGTTAGTATACTTTCTTTTAGTTTAATATTATTGAAAACATGTTTTAGGTATTGAAAATATTATTGAAAACATGTTTTAGGCTAGATTTACTTTCTTCTACAGTCATTCTATCCTGATTATGCATGTATATGAATTTGATAGGATGTTGTAGTAGCTGGTAGATTCAACTTTTAATTTTTCTTTGTGCTACATTTCATGGTATTGATGGTAAAAAAAAAAAAAATTAAAAATTTTGGTGTGGGGGGGGGGGGGGGATGAAAAATCTTTTAAACTTAACTTATTTGTCTTCAGTAGC